GTGAGGGAGGGAGGGAGGGAAGAGGCGGGGAGAGGCCAACTTTGAACCAAGTGTCAAGAGAAAGGGACCCAGCACAGTTCACAGAGCGCTCTCCTCTGCTGAGTCCTCCCATTCTCCTCTCTGAGCCTTGATTTCTCCATCTCTGAAAGGAGGAGCTGGGCCTAGGCCCGTCGGAGGTGGCTGGGACCAGACCCGAGCTGCAGATGTGGCACAGGTGTCCCGGAACCTTTGTGGGAAGAAGGCTGCTTGTGAGGCCTGGGCCGGGACCACGGGCTCTGCCTCTCCATCTACTGCGCAGCCCACTCTCCCACCCCAGCCCCCCCAATCCCCGTGCCCTCTCCAGGCTCTATTGGAACCAGAGTGAAATTCTCGGGGACACTGTGTCTGCCCGTTTGGAGGGCGTCTGTGAAGGACAGAGGACACAGCTACAGCAATGCGACTTAATAACGGAGCTGTGATGCGTGCCGAGGTAGACCAGCGTGCATGCAGAGGGTTTTATAAGCTCTACCTCATTTCGTCCCCCAAAACGTCCTCTTACGGTGCACTATTTAAAAAGAGGAACCCAACTAGATAAATGTCTCAAGCTCTGAGCTTTTGCTGCATTAGAGGCTCTGGCTCCTATGCGCCTGGCCCACGGGAGTACAAGCCTGCCTCCAGGGTAACAAAATAATCAAAGCGACTGTCTTCTCCCAAGGGCAACGTGCCTAATGACCCTTCCAGGAGCTGTGTCTATGGCTCCTGGAAATATCATCCAGTGCTGCCCCAGCCTGGACAGCCAATCTTGAGCACAGAGCCAAGTTCACTCTCCTCGAGAAACCAGCAAGGGTTCCACCCCATCCACTCCCAGGCCCCTCAAAGCCCCCAGTCCCAGCCAATTCTTCACACCTGCCATCTGGCAGTTGAAGCTGCTCTGAGCACGTCTCTGGGGGAGGTTTTGGCAGAGTCTCCCTCTCCCAGGTGAATGCAGAGGGCACAGGAGGAGGAAGCCTCCCTTCTCCACCTTCTGAGCACCTCCCCACGGTTGGTCGCATGCAGCCGATGCCCTGACACCCTTTGCTTGTCAGTGTCCCACAGGAAGTTGGTGGCTGCTTCCTGTCCACTCTTGAACTAAGCCTTGCTTTATGGCAGCTTTGCCGGGGATCCTGGGATCTCAGCAGCACTCCAGAGAAAAGAGCAAGCTGGACACTGTCCCTGCATTTTCCAGAAAGTATGAAGGAACACGTTCCTGCCTGGGCCTGAGGAGCCTGGGCCTTCAGTTCTGCTGCTGGGGGGAAACAGCCCTCTCTGAGGGCCTTCACAGTGCGCGGTTTGTAGAAACGCAGGCAGTGCCGAATGGCACAGGAGCTCTTCTTCCGGCAGAAGTTGTGTCCTCCCTGTCTGTCCTTGCAAGAAGAGGCTGGTGTTCAGCTCCACCCACCAGCTGTATAAAAGAGCCGCCCTGACAGCCTCAGGAAGGCCCAGCTCTGCTCTGCCCACAGCCATGAGCCTGCGTCTTTCTGGTCTACTCTTCGTCCTGGTGGTCGCGTTGCCTTCAGGTGAGCCGGAAGGAGGAGGGAGGGAGGGAGTCTCCTAGGCACGTAGGTGGGTGGGAGCCCAGGTCAGCCGTAGGGGTGGGATGCAGCCCCTGCCCTGCTCACGTCCACCGCATCCTGAAAATCCGGTGGCTCTCATGAGAGAGGGGAGGCAATTTCCCTGTGCAGCCACACAAACTCCTGCTTTACCCTCAGATTCCTGTGGGCAGCTGGAGACTCGGCCTCCTCTCTGCGGGATGTGGTAGAAAGGTTGAGGGGCTCCGGAAAGAATGGCAAAGTAAGGCCCGCGCAGACGGTGCCGGCCGGGCCGACGTCTCTCCCTCCCTCCCTCCCTCCTCAGGCAGCGGCCTGTTCGGGAACAGGGGCGTGCAGGTCCGCACCTGCACGAATGGTGCCGGCCGGGCCGACGTCTCTCCCTCCCTCCTCAGGCAGCGGCCTGTTCGGGAACAGGGGCGTGCAGGTCCGCACCTGCACGAAGCTCCACGGCCTGTGCTTCTTTGGCTGCAAACCAGGATGGACGTGGGTCGCGTTCTGTCACAACATACTGTCCTGTTGCACACAGAATAAAGTATTTCTACCTCCCCAGAGCAAGGAGGTGTGACCTGCACCCCGGGAGGCCCATTAAAGGAATGTGAGAACCGCTAACAGGACTGAACTCTGAGTCCCTGGGGCGGGGTGGGAGCCTGGGGCCAGGCCGGAAGTGTGTCTCGAAGCAGGCGCCCAGGCAGAGACGCACTCGGGCCGGGGTCTCTGCCGCTCCATCTCCAGTCGCTGACACCACTCAGCCCAGACTCGGCTGAGGACCGCAAGGCCGTGTCGCATCCCCAGCACAGAAGCACCAGCCGCCAGGTGCCAGCAGCCCTCGAAGGGGTCTCCGTGCATCCCATTACTTCGTCCTCAGCTCTGACCTCTCCCTTCTTTTTTTTACACTCACAATTTTATGACTTTTTGTGTATTTTCTCTATTGATATGCTTGTGGCACATAATAATTACATTTACGATGGGGAGTTTGTACATATACACGCCACATCTCAATTCTTTTGTCCCCTCCCATCCCTCCAGCTCCCTCCAACTCTTAACCCCTTACCGTTTGAAAAGCTCTATTCCCATTTTTTATTCTTTTTTAAATCCTTTTTCCCTTCCTTCCCTCCCCCTTCCATCTCTTGTTCCCCTTCCCACTTAAAAAAGATCTCCCTACTTCCTATTATCTATATAATTATTGTATCTTCCTTATTTATACTTTGATTTTCTCATCTAGGGAATAATCTTTTCCAAGCACACAGGTAGTGAAAGTGGAAAAACGGGGGG